AATAAAAACAACCTTGATTATTATTGTCAAAAGAAATCACCTTTGAGCCTAAATAAAATTTAGACATTGAGTAGCAAAAAGAAGTAGTATTAGATATAGAAAGGAAAAAAGAAGAAAAAACTTCCACCTCATTATTCAATAATGATCTTCTAATATTTATAATAGTATTAGTGTAATAAGATATCAATAATATACCACCAATAAAAGTCCTTATTCCAATCAAGACCAAGATGTCTATGAAGTCTTAGTCTCTTTACAAAAAGATGTATTAAGATTCATGGGTAGGATAGTTAAAAGACTTGTGTGATTTTGAAACTACGAAGTTGAATACTTCTTAGCATAGCCTTTCATAATTGTAGAAGTAAAAATAAATTAAGAAATAAGAAAATTTTACAAAAAATACTAAATTCAAGTTTTGAAATTAAAAACTTTAAATAATTTTAGATATTAATGTAGTATTTAAGTTAAGGAGTCAGCTATAAGTTAAGTCTTTATATTCTTTATGAGCTCTTACTTATGATCCCTCAAGAATTTGTGAATTTAGAAGAAAAAAACAGTATATAATTATTGAGGTTTTTGACCTTAATGTAGTTGAGATTTATAGATATAATATATCAAAACTTTGATGCATGAGTGTCAAATTTATATTCAATGAATGTCATTAAAATATAATAAAATAATCTATTAGTTGAATATCATTTTAATTTGTTTAAAAAAATAAACATACAAACAAACAAAAAATTGTGAATTTATCTAACAAGCTAAAGTATTCTTATAATTTTGTTTATTAATCTTATTTGATAAAATTACTTGAGTGAAACTAAATATTTTGTATTTGGTTTGAAAAATAATATAAAATATTTTTTTAATAAATTATAAAATATTATTACTTCAAAACAATAATTATAAAAGAAATTAAGTATAAAAAATTAATTACTTTAAATATAATCAAAGTGGTGATTTAAGAAAAATCTTTTATATTAAATTAAGATATCGAAATAATTTAAATAAATAAATATATATATATATATATATATATATATATATAGTATTAAGAAATTTTAATAAAAATATATCTAACTTTGTTAATATTATTAATTTTGAAAAAAATAAAGATAATATTTAAACAAGCTATTTATATATTATGATAAGTTATAACATAGTATAGAATATTATTGTAATATTATAAAGTTTAAGACCTAAGATGATATTTTAAATATTAATATTTATTTTTTAAAAAATATTATCAAATTATACTAGAAATTACGTAATAAAATAATATTAATTATATAATAAATTTAAATTTTATATTAGCTTCTATAGTCTAATATCTTTTTAAAGTGATTTTATGCATAAAAAAATATATAAAAATATATATACAAAAGACATAAATAATTATTGAATTTATAATATTCTTTATTTTAAATTTTTTTACTAAATAATAAAAATAAACTAATTAAAAAGATATTTTTCAACAAAGATGTAATTTATTGATATATAACATCTATTGTTAGAAAAATCAAGGCATCAATATGAAATTTTAATGAGATTACAAAAAATCAGTAACTCCTTATTATCCAAATTTTATATTTAAAGTAATCTTAATTCTTATAATTGAATAAATTATATATATATATATATATATATATATATATATATAATTATCAATTTTCAAGGACAAAAATTTATAAGGTGTTTATAAATAAGATGGTAAAAAGAAAAGAAAAAATATATAAAGTCAAGAAAAAACTAAAATCGCTATTGCTAATAACAAAAAAACTAGAGATTCTTGAAATGGACTAAAAGTAAGAAAAATATTGTTAAGAGTAAAGAAGGCCTCACTATTACTTGTATATATTATCTAATTAAGGAGTTAGGTGGCAAAGACCTATGTGCTACATGACACCTATTAAACTTGTAGGATAAGTTTCTAACATGTCCGCCATGTGGCCAACATATGCAACAAATGTTGAACTTGTTGGTCATGTTTTCAACCTACCAATCATCTACATACATATATAAAATTAAATCCCTTTATGTAAAGTATCTAAAAAGCTTTGTAACAAGATATTAATAATTTAATCTATTTTTATTTATTTCTATCTAATTCATTTATCCAAGTAAATATATTATCAATTATAGATGTTCATAACATCAATTTGATTATAGTTTATTTTTTTATTCATTAATATAAAAGTATTATAAACATTAGGAGTTTTAGATGTCATGCCAAAATCTCCAACTTAAGAAAGAAAATTGACCCAGAATAGATTATTTCATGCATGTCCATTGTGCAAAATTTGATGTAGCTGGTAGACTATGCAAAATCCCATGGCCAAAGCTACACCACATTCAATCAAAGGAGGATAGGGAGTTGGAAGATGAAGGTTTTGAATCACAAGCAGCAGCCCATGGTTGACATTAGGCCCATTGGATGAGATGAGTGGAGCTCATGAATCTCCCCCATTCATTCCATTCCAAGTTTGTTTGTGCCACCCAGTGGAGGAAACGAAGAAACAGATGGAGGAAGTGTGATGGAATTCCACACCACAAGAGCAACTCTTGAGGTAGAACAATGGGGAGGAGGGACATGGGGCCGAAATCAATACAATCACTATTACTTGTATATATATAGTCAACAGGAGTAGAGTCTACCAACACTAATGGCTCATGGCATCCTAGTTGCTCTTAGATCTCTCGCTCTCTCTCTCTTTTGTTTCCATGCTCGTCCTTCCTTCCTACACATCTTTCCCGACAGTCCCCCACCTGTTCTGGGATTTGTGGGTGCTTCCCCGTGCATTGGACCAGCTAATGGTGTGTGGGAGCTTGCCTTGACCTTCATTTTAGGGTTTTTGAGGATAATCGAATGAGAAGGAGATTTTCAGCTCCATCTAGGTGGTATGAGGCATTAGTGATTTCTGATGATGCCTTGAATCTGTCCTGGGGTTTGTGGAGTCTGTAACTCTCATTGCGCAAGGTTTTCCAGCACACTTATTGATTTCGGAAAGATTTCATGCACTCTTACGTTACAGAGCCGGTCGTACCTTCGTCGCAGCAGTTCCAGAAACTTCAGCCTTGCCCTCAATTCTCGATTTTTAAATGGCAAGCTGAACATCTGGATGCTCGTTCGGTAGGGAGCGTGGGAATTGCTAGCTCGACTGCTAAACGCAATGTCAAGTCAGCAGAAAGGAGCAGTGGCACCTATAGCATTCGCTGCATGGGATCTAGCAAAGACGGGGTATTCCTCGGTAGCAGTCTCGAGGGTTTTAAACATCGCAATCCGTCCTCACGTTTCCAAACATGACTGTTCTGCAGTTAAAATGTCCTCTCCAAAGTTGACTTTGGAAGCTTTCTTTTATTTATCACTGAACCTACGTGTGGCTCCGACCATAACAGTGTCTCGCTGGGACGACAGAAAGGTTGCAGACCGACCAGCGATGCTCAGTGCAATCACAGCATTCAGATGACATCCACCATGGTATTTGCGAGAGGGTCGAGCAATAGTAAGACCCTCAACTTTCAAGAAAACGTAGGCGGTCCCGAACCTGCTTCGAAGCCGGCAGTTTTGTCAGGAACACAGGATTCCTAAGGTGTAAGAAGTTGTGTTGTTGTCGAAACTGTCAGAATGCCTAGTTCAATTACATTCATGTGCCCATGAATATCTAAATGTTTTGTTAGGATGATGGGTTAATCTCACTTGTACGCTCTTTGGTTACGTTCCTTCGAAATTAGTGTTGGTAGACTCTACTCCTGTTGACTTTTGTACCTCCAAAAAATGTGTACGTTGACCAATCTCAACCTGGTGCGGGGGGCTCGTCATTTTTTATGGACCTTTCGTAGGCAGACTTGAAGTTGGTGTCTGTGAAGTAACAATAGGGTTAATATAGTTCAGGCAATCATCGACTTGAGAGGAATGAGACTTAAGAACAAGGGACACATGAAAAAGATGCTTCAGTCTTAGAGTTGGCTGGTGCATCAGTCCGAGCTTGCAGGCTCTGTGGGAGTCCAGGAGAAAATAAAGATGACACTTCTTCGGAGGTTGCAGTCATTCCTCAATCATCTATTGAACCCGATAAGCAATTTTATTTGAGCAACCTTCCCAATACTTCTTCCAAGTAATAACAGTAGATATCCCAATTACTCTGTGGCTACGCTGGTGACTCACTCAGTCACTTCTTCCCATGTTCCTTGAGTGAATCTCCTCTGTGCCTATCGTCCGCCAACCGTGTCAAAAGGTGGTTCTGACTTGGTTCAGACTTGGTTGAATGACTGGAGAGTGGTCTGAAATCTGAGTACAGGATTATCCATAGTAATCCGACTTCATTTATGTCTGCAGGAATGCTTACTAATATCCCAGATGGGAAAGTGGCTGCGTTTGTTCTCTGACTGAACGACACGCGTGTTAGTAAAACTTTGCTTCGTTTTTGCCCAACCAATCGCAATGTAACACTTCAAACGTAGAAGGCGAGGTGGCCAGATAACGACGCCAGATTGTGCCAAAGTTTCGAACAAAATTCTTGAGCAGACTCCATCAAATGTTAACAATCCTGTGAGATGAGATCATCACACGAGGTCACACTCCCATAGGAGCTACTCACAGCCTCTTAGACCAAAGATTCATCTGGAACCTTCTTCTCGGGGTCGTTCACAGCTACAGTAGACGATGCACTTTTGCATGGGTACAAACCATGCTTGAGGGATCCTCCCGTCAGTTCAGAACAAATCCGGTCCATCGGAAAGCTGGAGGTTTTGTGGGAACTTTCGCTGTGAACACTACCCAATCACCAACCCACTCGAAAGAAATCAGAAACCATACAGAGAAAGCAGCCAGCGGAGTTTATTCAGGAGGCAAGTTGGAAATTTTCATCTAGGAACTGGGAACTTGGGATGGAAAGTGAGCCTGTGGGCTTTAGAGGCCCACCACAATTGCTAAGAATAGTCTACCGCTGGAACGCCCCTGACGTTGCTGCGGTCAACATATATGCGCGGTTCTTCGTGCTGTGCTTCCTTAGCGGTAGAAAATACAGGACGGCTTCATTGGTTTGGACCCATTGTTCAGCTCTCGTGTTTCCCAAATTTTTTATTTTTATTTATCCATAATTGTGTCCTTTCTATGTTCCTATTTTCTCTCTGTCTTGGCACCCGGTGGTGGAAGCAGAAGGAAATTTGCGCAGCAAGGTCTTGGGTGTGGAGTTCAGATGTTCACCCTTGATCTTGCAGACTTGGAGTGAAATGTTTGAGCGGCCGAGCTGTACTGCGTTGCAATAAGGTACTGCATGGTCGAAGTTGTAGTTTGTACTTTGCCAAGAAGCTCGAAGTTCGGAGATTGGGTTTGAAATCCGATGCGATCTAACGCGACGAGCAAATTTACATTTGCAAGGGTATCATCGAAGGATATTGATTCACTACGTTAAATAGAATTTGGTCTTGTTTGTCGCAACGCAATTGTGAACCATTAGCGTCATCACCAATTTAATCAATTTTCGATTGATTTATTATCGATTGATTCTTCAGGCGGACACCATTCTGCGCCTTGTTTTCTCGAAGGAGAAGAGGAAATAAATTTCTCTGTTTTTGCTGTGATCTGGCTAATCCTTCCTGGGAGTCTGTTCAAGGTGGGAGTCGAATCCAGCATACGAGCGTTGCAGATCGATAATAGTATTGGGCATCTGAAATTGCCTTCCATTCTGGTGCCCATAAAAGCAGAGGAACGTTTCTTGAAATTGAGACAGATGAGTTGTCGGTGAGTTTCTCTGCTTTTGTAGACCTGTCGATTCTTTCTCAAAGGCATCTTTGGTAGAATTGTTGTACTATTTTCCTTTGAATCCAACTGCCAAATTTATCCCCGTCTGAGAATTATTAGACGAGATCCTTGACTGTTGATTTAACACTTTAGTACTTCTAAAGTACTGGTGGCATTTAATTATTCTGTTTCATTTATGTGATGAGCTTCTCGTTACATGTTACTCAAACCCTCCTATTGTGAAGGCATTATGAAATGGTATTTGTCGAAGTGAAGACCTACTTTGTTTATTATGCAAAAGCCACCGGACTTTGGTTATTGGATTTTAGGACGTTTATTGGCAAGCTTGATCCTAAGACCGATCGTTCGACAAGTTTGTAGTCTTTTGATGTGGAGATGAATGTGGACGCAGTCTTTCCATAGATGAGCGTGTTCGCCAGGTTCATAATGTTTTCAAATGTTTACCATATTTCCATTTAGGTGAGTCTTGGGAAATCCAGTTACCTAGCCGGAGAGGTGGAATAAATGCCAGTAGAGCTATGATATAGAGTTTCTTCTTGGGCTTGTAGGTAGAGGATGACGCTGTCGGGGACAAACGTGGAGCTGATGGAGAGAGTCAGTTTTGAAGCGAGTCGTAACTTGGACAGTGACGAAGATGAGCTCTTCAATGATGGAGGGGGGAACGGAAATCAGGTCTTTGCGCTACCTCCTCCCATTCAAGGCAAACATCAACTACAAGCAATGTTGCGGCGACAGTGGTTGTTCAAGGTAATGACCTTTTAGCTTTATATAAGATCATAACCACATGTCTTGAAATACGAGAGCGATTCAAATACTCAAGAATCTGTTCGTGTACTTAAGACTAAAACACATTGATGCAGATAGTTCAGTATGATGAGTTTTTGGATCACAGTTTAGTATGCGTCGCTGGGGTGCGTCAGTGCATGCTTCATCTGGAGAGTATTTGATTTGATTTACATGTTTAGTGATACAGAAATTAATATTGTTTGGGACTTCTTGACGGGTACAGAAACGAGGTTGGGGTCAGACCCTGATGGAGCTCATCAGTCCTCTATTAATGATGTCTCTTGTAGTCTGGGGATGGTGGAGGAGCACTGAAGTACATTATGGTCTTGAATTCCCTGTGAATTCTACTATTCCATTATTCAAAGCACTGAAGAATGAGTATGGTACTGCACAGAGCTTATTACAGATCTGTCCACCAGACAGGCTCCTTGCCCAGGTAAGTCTTAACTCCGTTTGAAAGTGTCTGAATTTTTGGCCCTGGAATCATACTTCGAAATACGAAAACTTTTTAGGTTTTTCGAGATTTCTCAATGTCGCATGTCTGAGTGCTGGGTTCGGTTTTTCAGAATATTTCCCCTGAGGAGTTGGCCTTGCTTTCAACCTTGATAAGAGAGGATGTATTGAGGGGCCTGGATGGATTACAAGCGCTCAACTCCACTGCAAACATGACTTTAGGTGACGCATTAATTAACGGGCAACGTTTGATAGGAAGCATTCCAATGTCTCCTGCTCTCCTTTCTCTAGCAATGAAATGTATTGGCTCCGAGTCACAACTGGCAACAGCTTTTGATGCCTTCAATGAGTATCATGGCTCCCTTCCAATACCGTCATTGGATGCATTCGTTGGACTTGGCAAGCTTATACGACAAGCAATTGGTATTTGTTTTCTTTGATTTTTTTTCTGCACTTCTTTTACGCTGGCTGTCAACTCAATTCAAAATCTGCCGAAGACTGTTGAATCAAGTGGAGCTTATTTTTTGTGCTGCACGCCAGTTTGCGTACTTCATTTGTGTTCCTCTTGGTGTGTCGGAAAATATAATTTTCACGTAAATATCGAGCTCAATTCAGCACTAAAAATCGCTGCTTGGTTGTATGCTGAAGCTCGAACTGGCCAGCCTGATGGAATTGATCGATTCCAAAATATGTTCAGTTGGTTGGTATGGATCAGTACCCGTTTCTCTACATTTATTGTTCTCCCAGTATCTTCTAGAAATGAAGAGTGATATTCCCGAGCAATTTCTAAACATATTCTGTGTGATATCTTCTGGAGAGGACCAGGATTTACTGTCAAAATTCAAAACTTGTGCTTGTGTTGATAGGATTATGTGTTCCATGCAGCTGGGAAATCTTCTTACACAAGGTCGTATCACCTTTGCACCAAATACAACAGAGGTTTCGGGCCTTGTAACTCACCTGCTGACTGAAAGTGAGGTAAATCACTTTAAACCCGCTCGATGTCTCCTTACATTTTCATGTTTTATTAATTTCACTTCATTTAATCTTCATGCTCTTTTTTATAATGAAAGTAGTTTTGATATTCTTCCATTTCATGTGATTCTTTAAGCCTGTGTAGGGGTCTGGGTACAATGTGTGCCCAGTTTTTTTGATTATGAAGCAATTGATACATTTAGGATCTTATTGATTTTGCACGAGACTTAGAATGCACATTACCCCTGTAGGAATCACCTCGCTATTCATGAACCATTTGTAGGAAGAGCTTTGGTCAGTAGACCTAATTCAAGTATATGTTTTATTTCATCATTTGTAAACCTTAGCTTTATACGTTTTTTCGCAGTTATTCAAAGAGGTCTACGGAGGAACATTTTCAAGTGAAAAGGTGAAGCCGCTATCGGTTTTGATTTCAGTTTTATCCCTGTTTTCAGATATCTCGTGTCGGTTTTTGTCTGAACTGTATTGACACAAGGACTTCATTGGGCTGTTCAGGATGCTGTGGATTCGGCTCTAAGTAACGTAGAGAATGACAAACCTATATGGGCCATTGTGGTTGTCAACAATTTAGATCCTGCCGGTGGGAATGTAAATTATAAGATTCGAATGAACTTCACTACAGTGCCCCGCACTGCGAAAGCCGTGTATAAACGGCGCACAGATCTTCAATCGTACTACAAGCGTTATTACACTTCTGGTTTTCTGAGCTTGCAGGTTTGCTCTTCTCCTCATCATTTTCAGTCACGTTGTGGAGGACTTTATTTTAGATTTTTTATCTGGTATTCGTGTCCTGTTTTATGGCACGTATGATCCCTATTACGAAATCTCCTGGGATAATATGTCGATTACGTGTGATGCTTGTGCAGGACGCTGTGAATTCTTATGTTTTTAAACTTGCTCCAAATCGATCTGAGGTAGACATTTTATCTAAAAAGATCATGTGGGGAGCTCCATTTCCAGTGGCTGCACACTCTAGGAACAGATTTTACAAAGCAGTGAGTTGTTCAAATCTTACTTCCCGAATGTGTTCCTCGAGATATTATTTCATCACTGACGACTCTTGCAAATGAATTGTGGACTTTATGGATGTTGAGCCTTTATTTCAGGTTTCTCTTAAGCAATAAACTAAGCCTCATGCTTTGCAGGTTGGACCGATGCTGGGCTTATTGATGTGTCTTACAACTTTATATCCTTTGGGCATGCTTGTAAAGGTCAGCTAGTTGTGAATCTTATCTTATAACATCCATAATATGCCATCTATTCATCATTGGCTGCCATCAATGGCAAATTGCGCATCTATTAAATTTTTGGGTATGAATTCTGAGAAGAATTAAATAAAGGTCTATCAATTGACTAGTTTATTTGTAACTCTTCAGGCTTTAGTTGAGGAAAAGGAGACGCGCGCAAAAGAGACGATGTACATAATGGGACTAAAATCTTGGGTGTTTTCAATCTCTTGGGCCACGACGTATTTGGTACTGTCGGTTTTATTCTTGGTCTCGTTCAATTTTTTGCATCAATGCTAATTGAGCGTGAAAGATGTAGTTATTGACTGTATGGAGTCTGTGTAAATCTTTTTACTCTGTTGATACAAGGTTAAGTGACATCATATCTAGTTTTTGAAAATTCGTGACTTCTTGGTTAATTGGTGATGGTAGACAGCCTCTTCGTGTCTTGTGAAGCTTGTCTTCGCCTTGAAACTCTGGTTATCAAATCATATGTATAGTTATGTAGTCATTGATATACTGGCTCAAATTGAACTTTTGAATAAATCCTTTTTCTGACGTTTGTTGATGTTCATGTGATTTTCAACCGATGTTCATTTGTCCGGCGACTCTCTATTATTTGTAATTAAATTTTCAAAGTTGTGTTACTCATGGAATTGTTCCTCATGCAGGTGGTCTTCTTATTGATATCGTTGTCCGTAACTTTATTGCTGTCACTGACTGTGTTTCCGAGAAGGTGAAATGAACTTCTTTTCTTTGGTTTTGGATTTAGGATTCGTAAGAGTTCTGTTGTTTAACTACATTGCCTCTTTTGAGATTCAGTTTTCAAGTATGATGCGTATAAATTAGTCGAAGTAGCTATCGAGGAAACTGACACTGTTGAGGAACTGTTTTCTTTTTCAGTGATCTAAGCTTATTGCTTCTTCTCTTTTTCCTGTTTACAACATCTCTTACATCTTTTGGTAAGCTACCCATGTATTTTCTTTAGCTCTGACCTGTTTAGATTTGTCTGCACAATGTCTGAATGTCTTTATGTCTTTTTTACCCACTTTGTTTTCTTTTTTCACGTAATCCAAACTACAGATTATGGTGTAGACCATCTGATGAGTTCCCAGAACAAGGAAACATGCATTTGACCATTTCTACTCATGAAATTCTCAAATCTTACAATATCTTCGATTTTTGTTTCATCCTAATAACTCTTTTTCTCTTAATGTTCTCAAGGTTTCAGGATCTTAAGGCAGACTGACCAGAAAGAGTTGTTGATTGACCTCTCTTTAAGTTTGCAGGTTTTTTTCTTTCCGTCTTCTTTTCGAAAGCAAAACTGGCGGCGATTGTTGCACCATTTGTCCATTTTGGTGCTATAATGCCACGCTACATATTTTTTCGTGCGAGCGATGGTCAAGCCATTTCTGGGAAATCGATAGCAGCATTGTTACCACCAACGGCTTTCACTTTTGGTACGTTTCGCAACATACTTAAGGAAGAACCATAATCACTCTCATTTTCAAGTTACGAACACATTTTGCTTAATATTTTACATACTTTTTTGTTCAGAGAAACATTAAGATAAATTGGGAGCAACTGAGTAATGAAGGGCATCTTGATTGACATGAAGGTCATATCAAACATGTCTGCGTCCCTATCATGCATGCCACCTCGAGTACTTTCACCATTTTTATTTTATTTTATTTTATTTTATTTTATTAATTTTATTTTATAATCCTGCTAATTACAAGTACTGCGTATCTATCATCATATTCTTGTGTGAAATGGGAGTTTTTGAGTAAAGATGGTTCTTTATCCATTGGATGTGTCCATGTATATCCTGTGTCACTTTTCGAGTGAATGACTTTCATTTAGAGAATCTAGCTGGAAACAATCGTCCAGCAACACTTGTGCAGGATTACTGAAATTCGGATGGATAGGAGATCATGACTTTGAAATTTGATGCAGGCGCGGATATGGTAGGCCACTACGAAGGTGCAAATTTTGGTATAACATGGGCAAACATTTTTGAGGATGAATTTTCTATGGCGTGGATTCTTGGGCTTCTGGTCATAGATACTTTCTTGTACGCTTTTTTAGCGTGGTATGCATCAGCAATCCTTCCATGCCTCTATGCGCCTTATTGAGATATTTTCAGATTATCTTGAAGTATTCAGCGCATCCGTACCTTCTCTTGCAATTTGGTCATGTTTCATTTGAATATTAGAGAACTGCACTTTTGACGTTCGTCTCACGATGTACGTATCTTTTTTTAACATATACGTCTCGTTGAAAGGTATGTGATTGCTTGGGAATGATTGGGAATGATTTTCACTTATCGAAGAACTTGTGCGTTGGGTCTTGGTTTTGAAATCAGGTATTTGGAGCAAGTTTTGCCTTCCGAGTATGGTTTCACAAAATCACCACTATTTCTTTTTTCACCTGCTTGGTGGCGTGGCAACCGCAGTGTTACCGAGACCAAGTATCAGGTGCTTTAATTCGATTCTTTGTACTGGTGCTGTCATGAGCAAGTCAGCATGTTTCGTTTCACCTCGTAAACGATGCGTTGCCCGAAGGAAATTTCGAATTATTTCTTTCCGTAATTGTAAGAGAACGATGAGAGTTTGTTACGTTATTAAGCATTCGAATGACCTCTTTCCTGTCTATTGTAGAAATTAACCAACATCCATGAAGAAGAAGGCGCAGAACCTGCTTATAATGAACCCTACAAAGCGAATGGTTCGCAACCAGCAGTAATGATTCGCAACTTGAAGAAAGTTTACCCGGGAGGTAAAATTGCGGTGGAGGACTTGACTCTAGAAGTTTATGAGGATCACATTACGGCTCTGCTAGGCCACAACGGGGCTGGAAAGAGTACTACTATATCTATGCTCACTGGTCTCATTAGGCCAAGTGGTGGAGATGCTCATATATGGGGCCATAGCATATGTGACAATATGAACGACGTCCGAAGGTATGAGAACACTCCGGCATGCGCATCATGTATTTTTCTTAGAATGAAAGCAATTTTGTTTGAGATGTGAGGACTTTGACCTTCTTGGTTAAACCTGTGGCACCTATAGGTGATGATTCATTTTCTGCTACCATGTCTGCATTTGAGAGCTTTGTTCACAATTTTGCTGCCTCCGATGAACTGCACGAATGTCAAAGGGTTTGGAGATTGTCATAGAGATGTATCTAAGGACGAGGATGTTGGTCTTGATTCCGGTCAAACAGGACTATTGGCGTGTGCCCTCAACAAAACGTGCTTTTTAATCACCTTACGGTGAAGGAACATCTAGAACTATTTGCCGCTCTTAAAGGCGTGCCGAAGCTCTATATTGATCATGATGTGCAAGATATGGTCTCAAGGCTTGGCTTATCTGATAAAACGAACACCCCTGCTTCTAGTCTATCTGGTGGCATGAAACGCAAGCTCCAGGTACAGTTTTAAAAATTCTCTGAATTATCGGTTGCGCAATATTCATTGGGAAGTATATCTTGACTTGTAAAACCTGTTGAGATGCTGAGTTTGGACGGAGGTCATTGCATAATATTAGGAATGTACTTGGATTGATTTTTTGTAGATTGGACTTGCGATGATGGGTAGATCAAGGGTGGTGTTTTTGGATGAACCCACTTCAGGACTAGACCCTCAGTCAAGGCGTGCAGTGTGGGAATTGCTGCGTACCTTTAAGTCAGGACGTGCAATCATACTCACAACCCATTACATGGATGAGGCTGATCTTCTATGTGACAGAATTGCCATCATGAGTGAGGGGCGACTTAAATGTTCCGGAAGCAGCCTTTTTCTAAAGGTTAGGGGTCTCTTTATCTCATTTGAATGATTGATGCAGATGACTGATTTTAAGTGGAAATTTTTTAAGATGTGATTAACTTCGTGAGGCTATGCAGGCAAAATTTGGAGTTGGGTACAACTTGAGCATGACTCGAAGCAGCGCTTCATGCAATGACACTGCAGTTACAGCGTTCGTGCACAAACACATCCCACAAGCTATCTTGTTGAGCTCAGCAGGAGGGGAGCTGGCTTTTCAATTACCTCTGAGCAACAAGGGTGCATTCGCTCAGTTCTTCGAGGAGCTCGAGCAGCGACAAGAGGAGTTGTATATTGGTGGTTATGGAATCTCAATGACGACTTTGGAGGAAGTATTTCTCCGGCTTGCGAATGACAGCGTTACAGCAGATGTGTCTAAGCCCTTGGAAAATCGTATCGATAGACCAGCCCAGATCGTGAATGAACCTATGGCAACGACCTATCAATCTCATAATGGAAACGCCATTGAAATAAGCAATTATGGAGAACATAACAAGCATCATGTGATGATTCCTGTTTCTAGTCAGAGAGTAATCAACAGAAACTCCCAAAGCAACAGCTTTCGTCGAGCATATAGTCAGATGGTTCTTAAACGCGTTTTGATTGCCAGACGTGATTGGAAGGTAACCTTTTTGATCCCTTGTCATATATCACGGTCTGATGTTTCCGAAGCATCATTTGTGTTGCAATCTATTAGATTTATGTCCCTATGGTTCATAGTGTTTTCTGGATATTTTTGTTGACTTAGTTTTGAAAAGATTTTGTAAAACTTTTGGTGATCTTTAGGAAACTGCCTTTCACTCTCCTAAGACATCAAAATTAAAGTTCTGAGTGATGTTTTAAGTAGGATGCAAAAACGTCAATTTATGTTAACTTTAGAATTCAGTTTATCTGAGGCTTTGACTATAACACATAGTTGCCGTTGACAATCAACATGTAACTCGATTTTTTAGTATAGCAATCCTTGGTCAGCTCTGACCAAGCTCAATTCTTCAACTCATTTTTGTCATGTCTTTGTCGTATTAATTATTCTATTGTTCTTTACCAGGGGCTGGCTAATTCTGTATTGCTTCCAGTTTTCGCCATTTCATTGGTGATGCTTATTTTGAAGCTCAATATTGATCCAGCTGGACCTTCACTAGAGCTAGATTTCCGAATGTTCCGATTTACTGGGCAAAGAACTATTATTCCTGTTGCAGGGGTTTCTTCCAGTGATATGTCAACGTTACTTGCAAATGATTACCTTGAATTCCAAGCTCGAGATAACTTGAACAACAGCATTGCATTGAGTGAGGATCTTCTACAGACATATTTGCACACTCCCCCCAGATACGGTAAGCGTCACGGTTGAACATATACGATGTGTTATGATGTAGTTATGTCTGAAGTAAATTGTGGGCTACATATTTCGAGCATGTAATGAGAAAATCACAATAATTGCTTACCAGGAATATATATTACATAAGACTCGGTAGGAAAAACTCCTTCTGTAAGCTGGGCATGGCGGTGGCTGTGGCTGAACTTGTCTTAACGATGACCTGCAGGAATGCCATCTACAATGTTCTTTGGGTGGTAATGTCTTTATCGAATGCACGCAACTTATTGGTGTATGGTTTATTCATGTCTTTGCAGGTGCTCTTGTGTTTAATGACACTCTCTGGCCCACGCTCAACATATCTAGCCTTCAAAGCTTGAACATGACACAATCTGAGGGGCTGTTTAATAGCTCCGGGTATGGCTTTGGAGTTACTTCGAACACAAGTACATACAGTAGGTTCTTAACCAATCTCTTTCAGTCACCGTCGGGGCAGGGGATCTTTTCTCCTGTTACGCTTCTGTTCAACACCAGTTCAGATCATTCACTACCAGCTTTGGTTCAAGAGCTTATGCAGACTAGGCTGAAGGCAAACTTAGTTAATTCTTCAGCTACAATGAAGGTTTCAAATCATCCTTTGCCTCTCACCAAGACTGAGTTTCTGGAGATCCAAACAGTATTGTCTGTTTTGGCGGCACTCTTCGTTCTTATTCCATTTTGCTACCTGGGTGCAAGCTACGCGGTTTTTGTTGTTCGGGAACGCGTCGTCAAGGCTAAACTTCTTCAGGTGTGTGAAAGCATTTCGACTTATCCCTGGCTATGGAGCTGTTGTTGAGGCCTTTAAGGTTCCTGATAATCTGTGCTCTGTCAGTTTGAAATAACCTCTTTTTCTTAGATTCCACATGAGTCACTACTATAATCCTTAACAAATCTCTTCCTCGCGCTTAACTGTAATTTTGGACAGATGGTGAGTGGAGCAAGCTGTGTGGCATATTGGACAGCAACCTACACTTGGGATTTGATTACATATGCAGCAACATTAGCTCTCACCATGCTCATATTTGAGCTGTATCAAGACAAGTCATTCGTGGGTTCATGGTCAAAAGCTGGAGCAACACTATCAGTCCTCATGTCATTTGGAGCATCCGTGATTCCACTTACATACTGTTATTCCTTTGGGTTTTTAAATCACGCCAATGCTCAGGTATTTTCCCGTTCTATTCTTGTAGTCAGTCATATTGTGTTGATACAATCAGTATTTAAAAAATACGTAAATTTCTAATCAGCAAGAATTATCTGCGACAGATATGTACATGTTCGATAAAACATGGAATTGGTCAATTCTTTTTTGATCTTGTTGAGGGTATATATTACTTTTTTTCATTTGAGGTGCAACAACTGCAGTATATGATTGAGTCCATTGTTATTTGTAGGTGGCAATTGCAGGCATTCATTTTCTGACGGGCTTCGGCATGCTTGTTGGAAGTTTAGTTATGGGCGAGATTGATGAAACCAAGGTAACTTGAAATTGGACAAAAAATCCCCTGCACTGTACTAGATATTTGTTTCTATGACGACACATGCAAGTTACTGATAAGCTGTATATCTCTGCATCAATTTCGAGCATTTTGGAGTTCCTACTATTATAGTGAATATTGGAGCATAATACCATTTTTAATAACTTGCTTATGATATTGAGGGGTCCAAAGTGATACATGGTATCTTTAATATCTTGATTTCTTTGATTTTGCTATGAATGTTTACTGAAAGCTTTACAGTGGAAGTAATTGAATTGAATGTTCATGTCTGTAGTCTAATTATTTTGAAATTTTGGAGCTTGTGCAAGACGCTGATGCCTTGGTTCATTTACAAATCAGGCATTGAATGAGAAGCTGGTGCACCTCTATCATCTTTTTCCTCCCTTCAATCTTGGCAGAAGTCTTGTACAACTGTCAGCACTGGATTTCAGGGACCAAGTGCTTGGAAAACCATCTGATCCATTCAAGTGGGATATTTTGGGCCGCCCTCTCACCTACATGATAGTAGAGATTTTTGGCTACATGGTGTTGACCATATTGATTGACAATGGCACGCTCCGTAGGTCGAGTGATCTTGTATGGGACTTCGTGTCTCAAGCCTCTCAAGAATCACGACTGGCCGATTCACTCTCAGGTATGATAAGTAAAGCATTTCAGTCCGTTCAGTGGCTCTTTCCCTGTCATTCCACCGTGAGCTTTTGGACCACACTAATTATTTCCTTGCCTCGTTTATCTACACATGATGATTTCTTAAAGGTATGTCTATATCTTCACAGATAAATTACCATTAAAAGAGGACGTTGATGTCTGTAACGAAAGGAAGCGTGTGGAAGGGGGTCAAGCTCGCAGTGATACAGTTGTTGTGCAAGGTCTCCGGAAAGTATATCCTGCTCGTGGTTTGGAAGTTGTCAAAGTTGCTGTTAGAGATTTATCACTTGGCATTCCTCCTCGTGAATGTTTCGGCTTTTTGTAAGCAACCAAAACCTTGTTATATCTGCCTAATTTTTTTACGCTCTGAAGAGTGCTTTCATTTTCCCTTTACTACTCTGGAACTTATAATGCGGATCTCTATATCCGATGTAAAGAAGTGTTGTGTCGCTTCTTTGTAACTTTGAGTGTCTTCTTCATGCCTCACATATCATGGTCATGTCATGCTTGGGTCTATACTGAGGTGCTAATGTGTGGCTTTGTCCAGAGGTGTAAATGGAGCTGGGAAAACTACTACACTGTCTATGCTGAGCGGTGATATAAGACCCACAGCTGGAGAGGCGTATATCAATGGACACTCGGTTTTGAAAGATTTAGCAGCAGCACAAAAACAGATTGGATACTGCCCTCAGTTTGATCCTCTACTTGATCTGATGACTGGTAGAGAACACCTCCACATGTACGCTAATCTTAAAGGTCTTCCTAAAGCAGATGTCAAAGAGGCAGTGAACGCTCTGATGGAAGCTGTAGGTCTACAGAAATATGTTGATCGGGTTGCAGGAGCGTACAGCGGCGGTAACAAGCGTAAACTAGCATTAGCAATCGCCCTTGTAAGAGTCAATTCCCTGTTCGACAATTTCTCGTGTTTACTTATCGTTTTTCGTATGATACTCAACATGCGTAGGACTGACGAGTCAATTCATGTGCCCATGGCAGGTCGGCAATCCTGCAGTGGTGTTTCTGGATGAGCCTAGTAGCGGAATGGACCCTGTGGCAAGGAGATCCATGTGGAATCTTATCACAGATGCAGTTCTTGAGCAGGATATGAGTGTGGTACTTACAACCCACAGTATGGAAGAGTGTGAAGCACTTTGCAGTCGCGTTGGGGTCATGGTGGCAGGAAGCCTCGTCTGCCTTGGTTCTATCCAACACATCAAATCTCGTTTTGGCTCAGGTACGTGTCTGCAACTTAACAACGGCCAAATTTAGGTCGTGTCAATTCGGCAACTTCTGCTAGTTCTTCAAGCACCAATGGCGTTTCAAATGGTTTTAGACAGTTGATTTATATGTTGTAATGGTTAAAACTTGGCAGGCTACACGGTGGAGCTGAGATGCGCTTGTGCAATCGCAGTGGAGGCTCTCCACCAGTTTATGTCACTATCGTTTCCAAGTTCGAGGTTGGAAGAAGAACATCTAACGAGAGTGAAGTACAGCATTCCTGTGAAGGACTTCACCTTATCACAGGTGTTTAGCACACTCGAAAGGGAGAAAGACAGGTTAGAGCTAGAGGATTACAGCGTGAGCCAAAGCACACTTGAGCAGGTATTCTTGAGTTTGGCAAATGGTCAACCGGAAGAAATAGAATGCTAATATCTTAGTGAAGATTCGTGGAGGCCTCAGATTTTGGACTCGTTGCCAATTTAGATACATTCATGTTCATCATTGTAACATTTCACATGATACCATACAGTCTCCCTTACATATGCATGCAGCATGGGCAAAGTTCTCATGTAGAATCTCTTCAATGTCTTAGAATTCGTGGAAGCTGCACAGTTCATGTTACTGAAGTAGCAGCTTCGCTTCCCGGGTCGACACTATTCTGATTATATACCACATTTCAATTTGAATGTGATTTCTAAATTTCCAACAATGCAATTTTCATGAATTTTTTCACAACCAATGCTATAAACAGTCAGACATCTCAGAGAAGAAGATTGTAGAAGTATTGTTAAACGAAAGTCGTTACAATGAATAGTACATGTGAAGTTCATGCACGCATGAACATTCATTCATTGGTTGTTTCTAATACTCACATAAAACTCCACCTGCATTAAATGATACACTTTGATACAGTATTCAGTGCTGAATGTTGACAAGTATCTAGAGGCAAGCGTGATAGTCTTATCGAGGGGGAGGCGGAGATAAGACATTTTTATGCGAGACGTCGAGAGGCAACTCAAGATTGAATACCATCGTGAAGATCCGATGCTACAAAAATTCACTTCAATCACACGTGAAAATCCGAACTAGCTTGCCTTCACTCGGCGTCCATGGCCAGGTCCCCTTGAGGAGCATCTAACTCTTTCTCAATTATATCTCGAATGTCCTTAGAAGATAACAACCCTTCTGTACGAATTGCAAGCTTCTCTGTGTCTTGGCTCACGAAAACCATTGTAGGCAGACCTCGAATCTGCGAAAGATTCCAACCAAACAATTTTGATTAAGACGGCATAATCGAGACAACACGTGTCAGCGACTATTGAACCAAACAGACTTCGTAAAACGGCAACAACGTCCAACGAAAACACAAAGGTGGGATTCAAGCATGACCACACCTTCATCTGATCAGCAAGTTCATGCTCTTCGTCAGTGTCGATTTTCAAAAAGCGCACCCTGTCACCGTATTCCATGGCAAGCTGCATTGCAAAACAATTCAGTTACGAATCCATTATCTCTTCATTCAAGCACACACGCAAACCCATTGGATGGTCCTTTGCACACATGGCCCTCAATATGCAGATGCATACCCAGTTCACCTCAGTAGACCCCAACACTAATCTGTACTACCTTCGGTATTAAGTGACTCCACTCATGCTGCTGGCTCGCGATGGCTATACCTGTTCCAATTGTTGAGCCAGTAAAGCGCACGGTCCACACCACGTCGCGTAAAAATCAACAACCATCGGTGAATCCCTCTCGTTAGCCAGGATGTCGTCTAATTCACGTGCGGTTACCTTTCTCTGCAATCAGAGAGACCCGCCCGACATCAACGCGTAGAGCGAAACAGCAAGCCCGCGGACCACACGAAGCACCCAGTCATAAAGGTTCAAGCACGCACGAGCATTTTTCAGACGACGACGAAGAGATGACGTACCACAAGGTGATCACCCTTAGCTCCAGAAGCAGCGCGAATGGAAAATCCAACGCCCAGATTCCTGTCATTGGGCTGAGTGGCACCGCGTACCCACAATCGGACGCCGAAAAAGCTCGAATTCTGGTCACTCGGGCTAACTTTGGAGAAAATTCCATGCCCAGCAGCGCGAGACGCAGTCACACGCTGCGAGAGGTAGGAAGTGGACGCGGATGTAAGGGACGACATCGACGCAGTTGCCGCCATGACGGCCTCCCTCGGGCAATTGTCCCGTCTCGATGGCTTCCTCAAACACGCGCACCTGTGCCTTTACCACTCGTTCTGTGCTTCGCTCGCTCGCTCGTTCTCGCAGCAGCAGCAGCAGCAAGTGGACCTCGGTGAGAGGCTCCCGCGAGACACAGAGACAGAGTTGGGGGGGGGGGGTTTGCGAGAAGCAAATCCGAAACCCTAATCCCCAGGCAGCACCGAGCGCGCTGCCCTGCGCTCTCGGATAAGGGGGATGTTTCGATTCAATTGCCCTCCTTCCGCCTCCTCTGCGCCCTCCGGTCCTTCCTCCTCTCCCGCCCTTCTGCTGGACGGCGTCCCCTCTGGGGTTGATACTCACCACCGCCTTCCATTGGTTCGGGTTTTTATGAGCTTATTATTTCGTATAATGAGTAAGCTATAAGTGTTGGTTCGGGTTTTTATGAGCTTATTATTTCGTATAATGAGTAAGCTATAAGTGTTGGTTCGGGTTTTTATGAGCTTATTATTTCGTATAATGAGTAAGCTATAAGTGTTGAGTAGAAGTTCCTATACGGAACTATCTTTTAGGCTTGGAAATTTGAGTTTGTGACAATGAGGGTAGGTGGAGAAACATTATCTTGCTACAGATTGGAAAGAAGAGCTTATGATAATTTTCGAATTCTTAGAGAGATCTCTTATCCACTCTGCACAAGCCACCAATCGTTTGTATCTTACCCATCATCTACTTTTTGAGGAAGTGTGAAATACATAGGTGATGTATCAATGTTTCTCCTATTTTGTAATGTATTATTTACTAGGCTAGGCATTGATAACTAAGTTTGTAATGTTTATTTTTTGTTTTATATTATCAAGCTCTACGATCATACGATTGAAGACACTTTGATCTTCCTAACTACAAGAAATATTTTTGTTGTGAACCTTCGGAGCCTAATCTTTGTGTATTTAGAAGCAGACTTTTCACACTAATTCCACAAGCTATAATACTAATATATCACCTCATGACAATGCTACTGAAGAAATAGAACTTTGAAGTCACAACACATAGCATCAACAAGGTTGTACACAAAGAGAATAAGAAGTAAGATATATCTCACTTCCAACACCCAATACTTATAGGTTGTGGTTATTGCCCTACAAGACAACTTTCATTCATTGACTTTTATACACATAATCCTTGGTGTTAGGATCCTTTGGTATCTAATGTACCTCGAGGGTATCCTATGGTCCTTGGATCCTTCGACATCTTACTAACCACAAAGGTATCATATGCCAAACACTAATTATTCTTACCTAGTCTTTGAATATTCCCTAGTTCATACTTTATCCTCTTGACTTTGACTCTTGGTCATCTTATATCCATAGAATATCCTTTCTATACACCAAGAGTCAATTCTTTGACCATTAGCAACTTACCTAGGATAATATTCTTTACAAGATAATTTATTCTTCTTTCTCTTTTACTTCAAAAAATGCAACAAAAATCTACTCCAAGTAATGAAGAAGACTGACAGATCAAGGCATGGCAGAATTCTCTGCTACTATGATTGAGAGATGGATTTTGTTGTGAAAAATTCTAAGAACATGCTCTAGCTTTGCCTCCTAGAACATGTGCCCCTACTAAACAACGCTCTGCTCAATACATTCTAATTGATGAAACTGGAGAGTGAAGCAATAAAACATCATCGCCAAAACTGAAGTCAATGGTGTCCTAATGATCGAAATTAATGTTTGACCTAGAATTCTAAACTATAGAATGTCCTAAAACAAGTACACCCCAACAACATCGAAGCCTATGTTCACAAATTTTTAATTTCCATCAGGCTTAGTCCTATGTTATGCTCCATATCCAAATCTGTAGAAGGTTAGAAAAATAAAATGTCGAACGCTACTTTGCATGCTTTTATTTTAACTTAGGCAATACTTGGAATAATAATTTCATTCCAAACTCTGAAATTGCATGCAATCCACGACGGGTAGAATGAAGCACCACAGACACACCTTTGTATTGCAACACAATTAAAATGAATGGTGGGAATCCATAACCACTCCTAGTCCCTCAACTATCGACCATTCAACATCACTGTGGATACAAATAGCTCCAAGTGAAGGTTTCTAAACTTCACACATAATAACACGCTGAATAACGAGAACCGAACCGACCAACCTCGAGAATCATCAACTTCAATCTATTACACAATTGTACAAGTGAACCTTACGTCCAAGTTATTGAACAAATGGCAAATTTTTTTCATCATTCATTGAATATTTTTAGATTCAACTACAAGCCCAATTGGTGGAACTACTTATCTTACTTTGAGATTTTCACACATCCTCAATTATGCAATACCTATATTTGCTGGAGCAAGTCTTTATTCCAAATTATTACACTTTTAGAGCTCCAATATTCAATCATGCCTGCACAGGTAGTACTTCAATTCACATCTCACTTCAATGAATCGAGCCCAATTTGAGTGTAATATAATACAAGGTACTAGATTCAACTCATAAATGATCTTGCATTTGGACAAGGAAGAGAGGGCAGAGGGGACAAGGACCTATGCCAAGACTAGGAAGAGAGGGACAAGGCACGATCCACTTTGTGGAAATGGAGAGAAAGAAGGGACCAAACCTAAGGAAGGGATAAGGAAAAAGGGATCCAGATGAGCCAATCAGAAGTCTTGGGTGTGTATATAGATATAATGGGTGTGTGTGTAGCAAGTTGGGATGTGCTTATAGTGAACTTATATTTTAATATTTCATCTCTACTTCTGACACACATCTTTTTTACATAAGAACAACTATAAGTTTTATAAATCATTCTTAAAAAAAATTCTACATGTTGTACTAACTTATGTTATAGGATTGTTGCAAAAAATATTTATTTATTTATTTATTTATTTATACAAGAAATAGTGGTATTTATAAATAATATTAATACCATCTTTTAAATTTAATAATTCAAAGATTATTCATATATAAAATATTTTTTATTTTAAAAAATAAAAATAATACAAATAATTTTACTTTGCTCTATTTAAAATTTTTTATGATCGAAATTGAGGTTTCTATATTCATTTATAATTTAGGATTCGAATTTTAGAATTTTATATATGAATTTTATAGAATATATGCTAATTTCTTAAGAACTAAGACTAGATCTTAAAACATTAGTAAGGGATTTGTGATATTTACATTAGAAGTCTTAAAATTAAGATTTGAGAATTGAATCTTATTATTATATTATAATATATAAATTCTAAAAATTTAAAGTAGGATTTATGAGATTTTTTTTGAAGCGTTTCATTATTTAATGACGAAAAAATTTTGTTTTATTTTTTTGTTAAAGAAAGATTTTTTAAAGAGTAAAAATAAATAAAATAAAATAAAAATAAAGGTACAAAATACTTAAATGATTTTTGATGCAAAAATTGAAGCTAAGTTTTGAAAAGATGTCATTAATTAATTATGTAAGATGTTAGAAAAATAAAAATAAATATTTGTAATTATTTAATAAAAAATTCTTGTAGATTTTATATTGGGTGAAGATAACGAAATAATAAATAATTCTAGAAATCATTGAGTTGGAAATATAGATCAATATGTCCTATATATTATAGTTCTATCTATTAATAAATATTACATATAAACAATGTCTATTTCAATCATAAACAATGCTTATAAATTTACTTAATTAAAAACTTCAAAATATTATTACAAAACTTGATCAATATTAATAAAAATCATAACATAGTTTTTACAACTACAATATATATATATATATATATATATATATATATCACTTTTAATTATTGACTCTTGTTATGAATGAATCATATCTATAAGATTTAATCTATATATTAAGAATGCTCAAGGATAGAAGTAATGGTTCTTAATAGCTATATAGATGGGTCTTTGTTTCCATCAAAAAAATTCACCTTCTCTAGAGTTCACAAGTTGTTTCACAAAGTTCACATGCTGTTTTATAGGTCATTTTATAAAGCTTTGCATTGCAAAGTGAGTGCCTTCATGCAATCATTTGGTCTTTGTTTTTATCAAAAATATTCACATTTTGTGAAGACAAAATGTGGCTCTCATCCACTGTATGTACTTCTTTTTGTTTTCATCATAAAACATAATGTTGTCAAGAATCCACATGGTATATTACCATTTATCAATCAAAGTTCATAGGGCGTTTTACATTATTTTGGATTACTAGTGATAATATTAGAGTGGCAGGAAAGAAATTAAGTAGGACAATGACAATGTCCACTCCTTACAATTAACTTTATAGTTTTTTTTATTGTTATTCTATATTCACAATTTCATTGTTGTCATCATTGTTCTCTTACACATATTGTTACTAAGTGATTGTACATTTTCTTTTGTTTGTTTTTTCTTTGTGGCAATGGCATGATTCTAAAAGGTGAGACTAATAACTTTCTTAATGAGGTTTCACTTCAATTTCTCTCTCTTCCTAATTATAAGTATATGCATATTTGCAACCCTACTAAGTAGGTTAAAATATTATTCTTTAACTTCTTATTTTTTATTCACTTCTAGCAAGAAAGCTAAAAGAAGAAAGTCTGTTGTTGAAAAGAAACCAAGTAAGGACAAATTAGAGAAGAAAACAAAAACATCAAAATTTTCAAAGTTGCCTAAAAAGGCGACATCCAAAAAATTAAAAGATAACAAGCAAGAAGCTTCTTAATCTTATTCATTGGAGGAGAGGAATGCTACTAAACAATTCACTTTGAAGATAGGTAGTGTCATGGACATATATTTACTGTAATTGTTACTTAGGTGATATGAATAGGTCGAGGTAGATAAAAGTAGATTAATTTCATAATATCTTATGGAAAAGCTTTCTAAAAGCTTCATAGATGCTGTTTTGACTTTATATATGTTTATACTTGATTGATAGGTTAGAAACTTGGTCAACAAGTTAACCACATGCCACATATGTTGGTAGCTTGTGGAACAAGCTAATTATGTGGTATCCACATAGAAAACTTACCTTGCAAGTTAAGATACGTATTGTGTAAAGTCAACACATTTTTAGAGGTCCTATAGAGCGTTGGCACGTAGCTCTTAGGTAGATAGTATATATAAAGGCAAGAGTGAAGCCTTCTTCACTCTTGTCAATTTCTTTCTTGCTTTTAGTCTAGTTTTAAGGGTCTCTAGTTT